TTTTGACATGATAGAAACTTATTTTTTTAATGCTAGAAGCAAAATCAATAGGAAAAAAAGAGCTGCAAAACTTTTATGAGGGAAATAGGATCAAGAAGAATGCACCAGTATTTCCTTTAGAAAAGAGTGCTTTACTTTGGAGGTGCTGTTTCCTATGTGTCTGTTATAAGAATTGGTAGCAAAAGTCACCATCTTTTGTGTCAATTTGGAATTTCCTATGGATTGTGTTAGTTCTGAACTCGGCAGCTCAGTGCATTAACAAAAGTTTCTGCCAGTGCTGAGTCCTCTTCATCTCTAGGGCTTGCACGTGTTCATCTCCTAACTAGTCCATTCTTGGGAACTCAGCAAACTCTTTGTAGTGTGGGTTGTAGACAGTTGGAGTTTAGTCTGACTGTGCAGGGGAATCTAAACTTTGTGTTTGTCCTTACGCTTTCCTGAAAAAACCCCAGCAAACACAAACCAGTAATAATTGATGAGCGTTCAGCTCCCATTAAACAAAACCCACAGAATTAAAATCAAAGTATGTTAAACCAGTTACTATTCTCCCTTTCATATGACATGGTTACCCATTCAAACAATTGATTTTTGCAGGACTTCATGCATATGATTTTTAGGAGAAAGACTTCTCATTACTCAATGTAGTCAGTGTAAATTAAATCCAGGTATTTACTTTTTTAAGTACATGTTATTTTAACAGAGAATATCCTATTCTGTGACAGCTGTGGTTCCTCTTCCCATTCATTAGTTCAGTGCTCGTACATGATCTGACAATAGATCTGTAACTCTTTTGTAGGTGAAATCAAGAGCAAAGAATCTCACCTGGTAATAGAATCCTGCATGGATGGAGCAGACTGGCAGGTTTACAATCCACTAACTGTCTTTTATGTTTCTTAATTGGTATCTAAAATTTTAGGGTGCCAAAGTAAGTCTTCAGTTCAACTAATTTCTGTCTTCACAGGACTTCAGCAGTTCTTTGTCAGCTACAATTTCTGTGTTTGTGCTATTTTGAGCTTTTTTTTTAGCTATTGGCCCCTGCATCTACCTATTATGAAATAATCTGATTGGACAGAATTTATTGAGCACTTATCTTTCTCTATTCCATCTGAACTATTCTGGCAGTCTAGTTCTACTTTGTTCAGTAAGTCCAAATAATTAAGATAAAGCTCTGACATTATTCTGTTCATCTCTGGGTGTCCTGTGTGAATTTCAGTACATACTTAAGCAATTTTATTGCCTGCTGTATGTGAAAGCTTTTCTCAGTCATCCTTATGATGTGCTGCACAAATGCATTCCTTTGTTAGGTGACAGAGGCAGCCTAATATGCTTATTTATGAAATCCTAAAATCCTTAAATAGACAGTGATCAACTAGGAAAGAATCTTCAGGAAATTTCCTGAAGAATATTTGCAAGGGAAAACTACTAAAGAAAATATTATTTCTAGATAAAAATTGTGGGAAAATACCTCCATATGATGGATGAATATTACATTCCAGTAGCCAAGCAGACTCCTTCCTGAAAGAAGGTTCTGGAATACATTTTTGTCACCCAATACATCCATGCATCCATGCATATGGTGTTTTCAAGCCCTGATTTTACATATTATTTTACATATATTATTTTTACATGTGAATATACATATAATATCTATATATAGATATGTGTATGTATGAAGAAATTAAATTTCAATCTTCCATAGTCTATAGATTTTAGTATTGATTTGGAAAAAAACTAGCTCAAAGAAAAGTAACACAAAGAACATGGTGAAAGGCTCTTTGGTAAAAACTGTACCAAACTCCTTGTCACTATTGTAACAGCGATGAGATGGCAGTGAATTTTCATACTTCGTTTTCAAATCTTTTGCTTTGTAGTGCACTGTCTTTGTTGCAAAGGTTTTATTTTCTTACAATAAATTTGTGGCTTAGCACACTAATAATTCATTTCAGCTGCCCTGGTTTGTGTCATGCTTAAGGAGAATTGCATCCCTAGCATTATGGATCCATTGCTATTCTTCCATGATTTAACACTTGATGGTATCTGACTCCATATTGCTGTTTTACAGAACATCAGCCCTTTCACTGCTGGACTCATGCAAGGTCCTTTCTTGGTCCAGCCAAAAGCTATGGTACACATTGTGCTCCATTGTTAGGCTTTGTGGTTAAAGTGTCTAAGCAGTTTATTGACAGCTCAATAAGGAATTCCTTATTGATTATTATATTGATTATTCCATAATAAATCCTCGTGATTATTCCTTAGGTGATTCTACAAACGTGGCAGCAGATTTTCTTTTTTTTTTTAAATGCTGATAGAATCATTTCACTCTCTTCTGTGGTCTTATGCCATTATATTAGAACTATACTGAAGCAATACTAAACAAAAGAGTTTTAACCTGTATAACCTTTGCAGCAGGAGCTGTTCATACCTTAATGTCTGGAAAACAGCCACAATGTTTTTGTCACCACTTGCATGTCGCTGACAGTATTTATCTCAAGGGACCATTGCTTTTTTGACCCCTGTGTGTTCAGTTTTCATTTTATCAGCTTATTCATTTTTTTGAAAATGAAAACCAGTGACAATAGCAATGCTTTAGCACATCAGCCCTGCCAGACCTGGTTCTTATCTTCTTCTTTTCGTTACTTGACTGTGATTTACTTAGCTCAGACCAAATCAAGCTTAAAAGAAAACCTTGTTCTGCTGTATTTTAAACTTTAAATTTTATTTTTTTTTCTGTACATGTGACCACTACATCCTTTCCAGGGTACAGAAAATAGTGGGGGATTGAATTAAGTGGTCCTGTTAATAGTTGGAGAATTGTTCAAACTGACAAAAACTTGTTTTTCTTGCCCAAAGGTAACAACACTTGTGAACACGAGCAATAAAGGACCCTCTGGCAAAAAGAAAGGGCGCTCGAAGAAGGCTCATGTTTTGGCTGCTTCAGTGGAGCAGGCAACCCAGAACTTCTTGGAAAAAGGAGATCAGATTGCTAAAGAGAGCCAGGATCTCAAGGAGGAGTTGGTTGCTGCTGTAGAGGATGTTCGTAAACAAGGTATGTGGGACAAAATGCTTAATGGGACAGCAGCTTTATTTGATGTTTTTCAAGATTTCTTCTGAAACAAGTGTATCAGATGCTTTGATAATGTACTTAAAAGTACGTCACATATATGTATATACACACACACGTATATATAATGTGGTATATATGTATTAAAGTGTCTACGCCTTCAAAAATAGCAATGACTTTGATGTCCAGAGAAGGACAATGAAGCTGGTGAAGGGTCTGGAGTACAAGTCTGATGAGGAGTGGCTGAGGGAGCTGGGGAGGCTCAGCCTGGAGAAAAGGAGGGTCACGGAGGACCTTCTGCTCTCTACAGCTCCATGGCAGGAGGTTGTAGCCAGGTGGGGGTTGGACTCTTCTCCCAAGTAAGAAGTGACAGGACAAGAGTCTTAAGCTGAGCCAGGGAAGGTTTAGGTTGGACATTGGGAAGAATTTCTTCACTGCATGAGTGATTAGACATTGGAATGGACTTCCCAGGACAGTGGTGGAGTCACCATCCCTGGAGGTGTTTAAGGAGAGACTACATATGGAAATTAGTCCCATGGTCTAGTTGACATGGTGGTGTTAGGTCGTAAGTTGGACTTGATGATCTCAGAGGTCTTTTCCACCCTGACCTGATTGATGATTCTCTCATACTATAAAGAATATTTAATTTTTGTAAAAAATGGTTGGTTTTTTTTCCCCTCTTGGCTCTTCTGACACCACATAGTGACCTCAAATATAACTTAGAAGCCAGGCTGTGCTGTGCCAAAGTTTACTGCTTCATTTTCTACTTGCTTTTTATTATACTGTGTCACCAAATGAGATTTTTTTTCACTTGGGTAAGTTTAACATACTATAAAGAATATTTAATTTTTGTAAAAAATGGTTGGTTTTTTTTCCCCTCTTGGCTCTTCTGACACCACATAGTGACCTCAAATATAACTTAGAAGCCAGGCTGTGCTGTGCCAAAGTTTACTGCTTCATTTTCTACTTGCTTTTTATTATACTGTGTCACCAAATGAGATTTTTTTTCACTTGGGTAAGTTTAAGCAGTGGTTTAAAGCCTGTGGGTGCAACTGTAGTATTAGGATTAAAGCACATATGTTTCTGAACAATCTCACAACTGTCAACCAAAGAGTACAGAAATATGGAAGTACTTGTGGTTTCAAGTATATATTGAAATACATTTTACAAAATCAAAGGCTGAAAATACAGAGATAATAACAGTATTAAAACAAGTATTTTCTGTGTATTGGTGATAAAATAAATGGATATTTGTGATATCATAAATATCATCTGACAATTTTCCTTCAGATGGTGAAATGTGTATCAGGTGCTTTGATATTTACCTGTGTGGTAGGGTAAAAATGTTTTAAATATTTGACCATAGGAAAATATTTCCTTTTTAATGACTTTGATTGTTATTATCTTTATTGCAACAGTATTAAGTACCTTTCAGGTTTGTTCCATTGTAAGTCCTATAATCTAAAGATACCATCTGGCAGTGTTATCCGCCATGGGTTTTTGAACAAGACTGACAGATCCCCAACTGAGATTTCAAAAGGAGTCTAAAGGATTTGGATATAAAATAATGGTTTTCAGTGAGTTAGTCCCCCAAAGCTCATAGGATGTTTTTTCAGCTTGTGAAAACTAGACTTTAGTGATCACATGAGCAGGCAGGGTTAAAATTTTATGTACATAAGCACCGATTAGTGAATCTTCCAGTCTTTTCTAACCTGAGGCTATTTCTTCCTTCTTCCACTATATGTATATTTGGTTTCACTGTTTTCCTGTTCCTATGTGGTTTGGGATTTATTAAATACTCAGTTTCCAGTACCTCAGAATAAGTGGAGTATTTGCTGGATACTCTATGTACAATGATATTCCAATATTCTAGTGGGGTTGGTGTGGTTTTGTTCATTTTTTGGGGTGTCTTTTTTTGGTTTTGCTGTGATGATGGGGTTTTGGGTAGGGTTTTTTTAGAATTTTATTGTTGATGCCTGGCTGTTCTGACATTAATTTTCATTTGTCAACTACTTCAGTTCCCTGTTGCTTACATTACTTATTTTGTGTTATGTCAAATTCTAGTTCAGCATCTTCAGTGCTGACACGAGTGCCCTTTGTTCCCTTTGGATTTATAACATTCTTTCTCCATTTGGTTCTGCAATGCTGACTCAGCTTCTCCCAAGGAGCCTTCAACTGTGTTAGAGTCATCAACCTAAGCTGTTGCACACTCTCTTATCTAGACTGAATTTCTGACTTTTTCATTGGCAACAAGACTTTCAAAAAAATCTATATTTTAACATCCCCAAACAACAGTGCAAGAAGCAGAGAGGAAAAAAGGATCTCAAACAGTATTACACAGAATGATAGAGACATTCATCTTTTGTCAACACTGCAGGCAAGGAAAAAGCCTGTCAGAAAAGTGGAGCAGCTTTTTTGGGTCTGTTCAACATGATTCCATAATGAGGAGAGCAGGAGACACCAAACACCATTATTATCACCCACGAGCCGTGTAAATGAGAGCAGCCTTGGTGCTCTGTGCAATGATATGTTTAGCTCAGTGACACAAAGAGCTGATTAATGAACTGAGGCTGTGTTTTGCTAGCTGATTTTCTGGCACAATTCCAGCTTGGATAATTACATCGTCAACCGAAAAATGTCTCCGGTAGTTACAGCTGTCTCTGGTGTGCTCCTCATTTCCTGCCCTACATTGCTGTGTACTGTCATATACTACATTCCAGAGGGACTTCTTTTGCATTGAAAGGTGTGAAACAAATGCACTGTATGATTGGCAAAATACTTTGGCGTAAATGTGGATGTAAGGAATAAATAGTGTTAAGATTCTTGTTACTTTTGTAGTGTGGAAGGGTAAATTCTATTTGCTGCATAAAACTCTGATTATCAACAGATTTGATTTATGAAGTTGAGTCCTAAAAATGCAAAGAGCAAGAAGGATATATGTCTAAAGCTCATAGCTGTGTATATTTATGTGTGTATGCATGTATCCCATAATGATTCCATAGTGGGAACACCTTGTTCTTACCAAAATCATACAGTTCAGTCAAACCATCTAAGTGAAATTATCCAATTTCTGTACCATTGAATGCTTTGCTGTGTGAGTATTTGTTCTGATATTGTCAGAGGTGTGTAAAACATCTCCCTGGTCGGGGACAAATGAGACCTGGGCAATGTAAATGTTTATTGTTTGTCTTCTTACATTAGAGGAGAGGGAAAGCAGACAGTCCTCTGCCCATGGCAGGGGTTTGGGACTAGATGGGTCCCTAAGGTCCCTTCCAACCCAAACCATTCCATGATTCTATGTCTGTAAACCCTGGATCTACAGAGCCTGAGAGAAGTGCAGGGAAGTGAAGAACTTGTAGGAATAAGAAATACAGTATGTGCTACACTCATAGCACATGTGTCTAAATGCAACTGGTCAGTTATTTATCATTAGAGAAGAAGGAAATTCCCTGTGGAGGAGAGATTCAGGTTCTGATTGACACAAAAATTTACCAAGAACTGCAGGTCCATTGGGCTCAGGTCTGATTAAATTTATTAAGAGACTGTCTGGGATGCTGCAGAAAGCAAGACAAGGAAATAGATTAGATTAATGTAAATTTATTCCATCTGTTAAATGACTTTGGCAATGTCTATCTGTAGGTATGTGCTAGTGAATGCCTGATTTTAATGTAGTTTTCCTGGAAGTTTTCTGGCATATAGCTGAAACTTCCATTAAAAAGATGATTTAGTCCAGCAGCTGGTTGTTGCTTGCAATTTTTTGCTTTTCAAGCACAGTTGATCCAACTTCACACCATAATCTGAAATTTATGCTTCAATCAAGGGACAGAAAATAGCTGTTGGTGTTTTATGTGTTCGAAGGCAGAGTAAACTTGAGGTACACTTAATTTTTTGTTCATGCAGATTTATGCACTTTGTAAAAAAGAATATCCATGTAATCGATGATTGTAATAAGCTCGAAACTATGGATCAACATCTGACACAAAAAAATGAGTTTACCTTTCTCAGCAACTTTTTTCTCTGTGATGGAGCATACTAAAAATTATTTTTAATGCTTGAATGCTTTTAATGATCTAATTTTGAAAACTATTTGAAGGAAGATTTTAAACTAAATCTTACGAAAAGTCTTCCTCCTTACTGTTCCCTCCTGTCTTCAGTGACTTGGAGAAAAGCAGGGAATCTGCACCTCTCAGGTGGTGGGAGCAAACTGCAAAATATACATGCACGAGATGCCAGTTGTTTTTCTAATAATTTATAATATTATTTTAAGTTCATTTAAGCTCTTGTAATTTCAATGGCAGCACTATGACATGGAGAGAGACAGATTGGGCCTTGCTAGTTGTAATGTCACATACACTGTTGCCGCTCTCAGTTTGTGATGCACGCATTAGAGTCTGAAAACAGCTCCCCAGTTCAGCTGCAGGTTGTGTTTTAGGAGACCTTTCTTGATTGTACCATTTTCTTTCAGTCAGACCTTGTTAGAGCAACAGTTCCTTCCTAAACCCCTGTCCTCACAGTGCCTCAAAGAACCATGTTATATTGAGTCTTTAAGACTTGCTGCCTGGAGGTCTTGACTTTCCTGACTGATGTATAAAATCCCTGCTGGGAATTTGTGTCTGTAAAAGTTTTCCACTCTCTTTAGATTTTTGGTTTCTGCCCTCTATTTAATTCTGTTTTCTCTTTTAACTCCATTAAAAACCCACAGCCATCTCTGGTTCCCAAGGAGTCCATGCTGCTCTTCTCTATATTCCTTTCCCTTTTCTTTGCTACCTTCATGTCATTGTACACTTATTTTGTCTTTCTTGCAATTCAGGGCTTGAAATTTCCACTGTCTCCTACTGTCCCTGTTAATCCTTCTTACTTCTGTCACCTCATACCCTTCTGTATTCACTTATGGTCCTTCTTGTGTCTCATGTTTAGTTGTGGCTTTGTAATGCAAAGTAGAAATTAAAAATCAAATGTCTTTTCCTTGATTCCTCCCCCCCCCC